CCCCTCTCCCTTCAACGTGATGGAAGTGTGTCGACTTTTCAGTTTCTGGGGAAGTTCTTCAAATCTCATTTAAAATTTTAGATGGGGAATCGGGTAATCTTATAATTTGTTTTCTTTCTTTCTATGTAAATTTTATTACGTTGAGTCTTTAAGTGGTTTGTTTGACTACCCTAAAATTAGTCGGGGCTGTGTAAAATTATCCTCGTCGGCGATGCTGTATATTGTGGTCGGGTTATGCGTAATCGCTTGCGTGATTGTGCTGTACCTATGGCTGAAAAGGTACCGCAAAGACAGTATCATGATCACTGGTATTACGGAATCAGGAAAAACAGCCTTGTTTACTATGCTTCTCCACAAAAAGCATTTAATGACTTTCACCTCCCTTGGCCCAAACGCTGATACCTACAGGTTAAGGACCAGGGTAATTTGTAAATATTAATTCATTTTAAGTAGCCTACTAAAAATCTTACTGTTATTGATATCCCCAGTCATGAGAAGATTCGTTATGAATATGTAACAAAGAACAAAAGTCGCGCTGCGTACGCGTTGTTATTATAATATTTTACGTCGGTTAAGGGGAGTTATCTTTGTCATTGACTCAGTCTCCATCCAAAAATCGCTCAAAGATGTGGCAGAGTACCTCTACAACCTGCTGGCCGATGCCGTATTGGCAAAAGGACGCGTTCCTTTTTTGATTGTTTGCAACAAGCAGGACTTACCTAATGCAAAGGACATTATCGCTGTGGAAAAGTTGCTCGAGGATGAAATGTAAGGATTTGGTTCCCTCGTTTTATGCCGATTCCTGGTATTCAGCATTGTGATCAACGTTCTACTATACTGAAGTTAATAAGTTGCTTCCCTATATGCTAGCCTATTTGTCTTTCAGTGTTTTTAGTTACTGCAGTACCCTTAGCTTTTTAAAAAAAATTGTGTTAATATGCCATATATGAACATTTGGGAGACTATTTTCACAGGGGCTTCAGGTCTGCCAAGAATAATGAAGGTGCCTACTTACGCATTACGGTGTAACAGGCGCACCTAGTTTCTCCTTATTCTCCGTGACTGCCTCGCCCTCT